GAGATCTTGAGCAGCATACAACACCCCAATTCATTGCCAACCCATAGTCTTCTTCTCTCCCAGGCCTTGTGCTGCCACCACCAGGTCATGTCCATTAGAATCCTCATCAACTGTGATGCTAATGTTCCAACCCTCTTGGCAAATGACAGAATGGGCTGATATGAACAGACCCACTCACAGGCTCTCTCTCATTTTCTCTCCTGCTACTTCATAGACAAAATTAAAAACTTTCATGGTCTCCAGTGTCAATTGCTCTAAGATTTGTTTCTCCATATGGAGATCTTGAGCAGCATACAACACCCCCTCCATAAAATCCACCAGTGCCCTGAGACCTGGTAACTCAGTTGGGTGGTCACTTGAATAGCATTCAAACCTCTCTGTTTCTCATCTCATCTCATGCCTCTTTCTCAGGCTACTGAGAAAAGGTGGGCTGTTGGGATGCTTGGAGAAAGGCTGTAATTGGGGAAGTTGTAGTGATCACGGAATGAGAAGGCTGATAGTTTAGGTGATCACCCAATACAGAAAGCAGAGAGCAAAGAAGTCAGTCACACACAGAGATGTCTGCCAACAGAGTCCTCCACACACACCTCTCCATACACCTCTAGGGCAATGCCCCCAGGAGGACTCCCTTTTATTAACCTTACAGATTGTTGATAGTATACTGATAGGGCACAGTTATATAATGCCAATTAGGATTGGCCAAAGAAAGGCTTTGAAGTTAGCGCTCTGTCTCTATGAGAGAGAGGAAGAATGGGTAGCTACTCCTCCCCTCAGAAGCAGCTGCGTCATATGCAGGAGAGTGTGCTCTACACTGAAGAACAGACAAATAGCTTAGCAACCTTGGGGAGGGCCCCCCCCACAGGAATGGACTGAGGTAAATACTTATACTGGGTTCCACTCTTCCAAGAGGAGGACCACGACTGGATACAACTCCTTTCCCTCAGGCACTTATAAAATTCCTTAGGTACATCTTCAGAAGAACTTAAGCCAGTTACTGGAAGATGCCTTAAAGCAAGGAGAATGAGCATCACTTGTAAATGTAACCAGCTGTACATTGTATTCAGCATAAGTAATGGCTGCTTTTTAAAAGACAGGAAGTATGCTATGACATTGAAAATATATGTAGACAGAGTAGGGTATTGTTTCCTGGAATTTCATTCAGTGTGCCAAGATCAAGTTGCAACAATAAATAAATAAATTTAAGACCTTACTTAGCTGTGTGTGTGTGTTTTACTCAGTCTTTCTTTTCATCCCATCCTGTCCCCTTGCTCACCTCCACCTCTCTTTCACACGCACAGGCACATAGAACAGCTTGAAGCCTGAGAGGTTACCGCTGCTTCCTGAGAGTTGCAACTAGAAGGGTGAAACAGGTCCAGTAAAAATGCTTTATCAGACTATCTTTCCCTCTCCATCTCCCCTTTGTTAGTAAAGCCATTCAAATGCCATGGAGGAATAAACAGTAGTCACACCCCTCCAAACTTTAGATGGGAGTGCTTAGGGTCTGTTTTGGTAAAAGAGAAATCACCATGGCTCATCATGGACGAAGCAAGATGATATCCTGTGACAACATTGACAGGCAGCCTGGGAGTGATGAACTACTGGGATTGAAGCTGAAAAATAAGGGGAGGGGACAGCTAAGAAGGAAAAAAAGATACAATCCAAAAATTTTGAACTGTTTCCCCATGAAATAATAATAATCTTGTGCTAAGTCAAGTCTGATTTATGGCAACGCTTTTTTTCAAGGGGTTTCCAAGTAGAGAATACACAGAAGTATTTACCATTCCTTTCTTCTAGGAACATCTTGGAGCTGGCTCTGCTTACAGGAGGCACAGTGGGGAACTGAACTCCCAACTTCTGGTTCCGCAGCCAGATACCTAAACCACTGAGCTATCCAGCTGCTTTTTCATATAATGGAACTAAACTTGTCAAGTGTAAAAGTGACAAACGTTTGGACAGAATTAGAAGCATGAAACTGCAATGTGAAAAATCTGGATCATGGACACATTGTATAATGAGCAAGATCAATGAAATGTATTTAAAGAATCTGGATGAGCATTCAAAGAAGTAGCCATGCTAGTCTGTCCAAGCATATCAGACAAAACAAACATAAAATAAAAACAAAAAAACATTGTAGTACCTTAGGAGTGAGAACAGAGTCAACCTCTGTACAATGTAAAATTTCAGTGTTTTGCTGTAAATTGGATTTCCAATTCTCATTAAACACAACATACTCAATCTGTTTCTCTAATTGGGAACTGTTAGTTTAATTTGTCTAATATTGATTCAACATCTTCTAAAGTGCACCAACTTCACCTACGTGTCCTGCATGAGTCCTTGAATAGATTTCATTAGCATACATGCTGAAAGAAATATCCATATTATGCATATTTCTGGAATCAAGGGGAAACTGATTTTTATAAAAAGATGCTTGACCGTATTAAAAATGAATTAAAATGTACACTATTCCCTGTAGAATTTCTAGCCAATGTACTATTAATTTTTCTCCCATGTCTTTTTCCTTATGCATGTTCAGTTTGGCATCCTAAAGTAGAGGCTCCTGTTTTCAACAGTTGAAACTAGCAACCTGCCTCCAAATTTGTCTTCAATTACATTTCAGGCTTATTAAGTCACCTATGTGGCCATGCAATACAGTGCCTTGTTTCCCACTAAAACAGGGACAGCAAAATCTCTGCTCTGTTTTCTTTCCTTGTCTTTCTGGCTTTAGCTGATTTCTCCTGATCTCCAACTGAGAGATGTTAGAGACAACAAAGAAGGAAACCAGGTATAGCATGCAGGAAGTGCTTTATTCACACTGGCATAAATAGTAGTGAGGTACTGCACTATGAGGAAGGTGAGAGAGAAATAGCAGTTGGCAATGTTTGTGGGGCAAGGATTGGCCCTGGAATGGGAATTCCTGAGAGTTAAGACCTGCAATGGATTAGAACGGGAGCACCACAAAACCGAGGTAAATGATTATACATAGTTCCTTCCATACATGAACTGGCAAGATAGTTTGAAAAAGTCAATTGCCAGCATCTACTTAGTTTCAGTTCCTGTAAAAAGTGCACTCCTTTGATTCTGTGATGGCCAAGTGTTTCCTCCAAGGCTGGATGCAAATACACTGCAGATCAGGAATGAAGAAAGGGACTTCAACACCACAGAGGATCAAGACTGCTCCATCATCCATAGCAATCCTACCTACCATGTTTCCTTCAAAAGCTACTGTATGTGTACTTTGACTAAAGAACAGCTATGAATCCAAACTAGTGGACAGGACACAAAAATTCAGCACAATCAAGCAATCTTGCAGCTGAACTTTTATCCAAATGATAATAAAGAGTCTGTTTGCAACATAGTCTTTGCAAATCACAAGGAACTAGGGATGTAAAGAAAAACATTTATTTGAAGACTATCAAGATTTCACAGATCCAGTAGGAATACACTTGCAATTAACAAAGTATTTAAAAAAATAAACATCACTTTATTTGCCAACACATTTTGAATTTGGTTATCAATTAATTGACTTTGATGTGTTTTTAAAGCGGAGTGTTAGCACACGGCACACCTCAGCATGATAACGTAGCAGTCCAATAGACCAGGATTTTTACATGACAGAAGCTGAACAAGCTTCGTTAAGTCAGAAATGAGCACCATTAGCAAGTTCCATTGAAAGCACAGGTAAAAATCAGCTAGGAAAAAAAAAATCTTTTACTCAAGTTTACCTCATTTATACTAATTTTTTTTAATGAATGGGAAACTATTTCTGATTTACAGCCACACTTGGTTCATCATGTACTGGAAAAGGAATATTCAACAATAAAAATGAAATAAAGAAAAAAATATCTATAGTCAATTCCATCTTGAGCTACTATGGATATGGTAATTTGTAGCATTTTTAGTAGACAGGTGCCTTGGATTGACAGATGAGAAAATAGAAGATAAAGTGCTCCTCTGCTAGGTCAAAAGTTAAGGGCACAAAAAGGTTGATAGGCATAACTCACATCCTAATCAAGTACAGTATATGATGGTATCAGTCCAGATTAGAACCAAAAGATATGGTGTGTATGCATTCCTCTTACTTGCTCCCTATATCTGCTGTCAGATGCTCCACAGCTGTAGTTCCCTGCATACATACACAGTGTCAGACAGTGCCACATACAGTTTCAGTCAGGCAATTGGCGTGGCCAGTCCCCACCACCTGTTCTGGAGTGTGGGAGAGCTGAACTGAGCTTCCCCCCAGCCTCCTGGTGAAAGCTTACACATACACAACACATACAACAAACAAGAATGGATTCTGAGGTGCAATTCTATACATTCTCTAGGTGCCAGTGAAAAGGGCTTACTTTTGAGTGGTCATGTATATGATTGCAGTGCAATTTATTTTAAATACTGTACATTTTATGTGCATGGGGGCATGGTAAAAAGAAAACCTTTTAAAAAACTATTAAAATAATGTTTAAAATATCAGCATTCATTTTATACACAGAATCAAAAGCTTCTATGATTCTGGCACATACTCAGGAGAGATATATGTATATATAAAATCTGTTTGCGATGGGAAGAGTCTGCTTTAAGCATTGATCCTGAAAAGCAGAAAGACAGCCAATGTTTTTCAAAATATGAGTATAGTTGTGGGAGCTCAGTTGCAGAAGAAGTGCCAGGCAGATGAGAGAGAGAGATAGAAAAAATCAAAGGAAGATCAAACAAACAAATGGATAGTGCACAAGGTTAAAAAAACAAAGCTAAGAGAAGTGTTAGACAGTTACTGGGCCTCTGACATTTGTAAAGCTCATCAAGATACAAATAGGTATCTACAGTGATGTTCTTGGCAAATGTTATCTGTTTAAAACAAGTTTTTGGATATTACAAGGCACAAGAATCTTGTACATGCATTTATCAAAACTAATGAACGGAAAGTAGAACACAGTAATAACAATTCTAGAAGGCTAGTACATCTGTTCAGAAGGCTGCTAGGAAGCAAAAACTGTGCCATAGTTACATCAGCTTTAATTCTCCTGATTTTAATGAGATATCACTTGTACATTTGTGTCTTAAGATGAATCAGATGGAAACACTTATTAATATGCAAGTTACAGTACAGATAGACAAAATACAATAGATCGGTAATTAATACTATGAAGTTAAATAACTGATAAACGCTCAAATGAGAATTGAACAGAAATATGGAGCTGAAGGTGCAATCCCAATGTTTTACATCAGTATCAGTAGGAGAGCTGTCAAATTTCAGATACACTAAACTACCCGCTGTTCCCAGCTATGCATAATAGCATACCAGGGGTGCTTGTTTTTGCTTGAGGCTTCAACAATGTAGTCAACTGTATTCTGGACGTCATAGCTGACGTAGTTTAGCTTTCTGCAACAGAAGCTAAGACCCTGGCACACACTCAGGACTTGCTTAGTTTTCCTGAAACAGGAGCTTAAAGTTTTAGAGTTTAATTCTAAAACAACACAACAGCTTCATCCTATTGGGTACAAAATTTATGAGTAGAGAGGAGATAATCACAACAAACATAGTTTTGCTGCAATATCCATTTTAGTTGGACTTAGAAAACGGCAACGCAGCTGTACACTGTTTTATCTGTGCTTGTGCCCAATCTGCATATCTCTATTTTTTTAAAAAAAAAGTGATTCCAAACCATTAAATAGGTATAGTTTGGAAAGCTTGAAAAGAATAACAACCTGTAAGTTAGTTAACAGTCTGATTTGAGTTTTACAGTATGGGCATTTCTGTGCCAGGAGGAAAATACTCACACAGAACTCTGATGCTGTTGGACTTTGGGTGCCCTATAAACTACTTTGCTTTGCAAACACTGCAGCTGGTTACAGACAAAATGTTGTGATAATAATTTAAATATGAAAGACAAATACTTCATTCTTCATTTAAATTCATAAGAACACTTGTAAACAAGCAGCAGAGTGTTTTATTCTTAATTATGAATAGGATTTTTTTTGCTGCATAGGTAGACTTTTTTGATGATTGCAATGCATCTTTGGCATACTGACACACACACTATAATCTATTTTACCTTACTTAGACATGTGCTTCTGCAATAAAATGAAGCTATTTTAGTACACAAAATTATGGTGTTTTAGGTAAACATATTTAGAAAGCAAAACAGAACCCAGGCAATTTTAGATGCTGAAAAAGGTTTCATTAAACAAAACAAATCTGAAAAATGTTACATTTATTAATCACTGTGGTCCAGAGCAGAAAATGTATACTGCATTCCGGATTTCATGCTCTATAACTCTATGTACTGTATTGTGTATGGATTTCCTAACTACAGCAGGTGGAAAGGGGACTAGGGAGGATGGGGCAGAAATGGAAGAAGCAACAAAATTACAATTACGAGATATCCTATCCTATAGCTCAAGACAGAGCTTATAAAAGCTCCCAAATATGCCTCTACATGGGATGGACTTGTTTGGCATCAAAAGGAATAAAACAGAGCTTGATATATCCCATACCTGAGGTGGAACTTTTTTCTCAAGAGAATACCTTCTCTCTGATGGTAACCTTGCCTCTAGGTATAGAATTAAGTTCACTTCATAGACAACTGGGCAACACACCTCAGACTATGCAGTAAATATCTTTGGGGGTCTGGATGCTTAACAGTCCTACACAATATAGCATCTGCACACATTTTTGATTGCTATGATATATCTAATCCCCTCCCACTACAGGCAGACACTATATGTCATGGTGCCCAAGGATCTAAAGCTTGCCTCTCCACCCACAATATGAATACTATTGCTCTGACAAAAAATGTTGTTGGCTGGGATAGTTTACAGTAGTGTTTAAAAGGGGATAATTTGCTTTTATATCACAAAAGCTGTGACCTGAAATCTGAAAGCATATATAATGTGCTATTTGAATAGACACAGCCTGGGAGTTTTGCTTCAATATTTAACAGCCAAGCACAATTTTCAATTGCAAGTATTTCAACAGCATGGAATATGATGTCCACTATGTTTTATTCTGAGTGAAAAAATTCAGCAAATGCCTTTATTCTTTCAGTTGGCATTCAGTGAATTTGCACTGAACAAGCCAACTCAGAAGGCTCAACACTCCTGACCTGCCCAGCCACTACTGTATGTGGCTGAGTAAGAAAATTAATGCTTTCATGATACCTGTGGATTCACTTACAAGACACATTATGCTACATAACTTATAGAACCAGCATTTTCACACACCTTTTCCTCCTGATGTGCATATATAAGCAAGGCACTAAGCAGTGTTGGGTAGTCATGGCTATTAAAAACGTAATAAAATCTCAAAAATACTTGTAGATACTTGACATTACATAATAAAACAAAGATACTGCCAGTATAATGTTTTTGGCTAGATCTTGTACACAAAATCTATGCTATAAATGTGCATACCGTAAGTCTTCAAAACTGCCTCACAATTTCACCCACTCCCCTGTTCCTCTCTGGCAGTATTTTTGAAAAAAATCAGTAAGGTTGGGATTTGGCTTGTCATGCTATTTCATTCCCTAAATATTAAGACTATAGATTCTTTATTGTCACAGATAGATCTATTATTAAGGCAGATCCTCAACAAATGTCTTTGTTTACAGCCCTATGGGTGGCTTAGCCAGGAATTTTGAAAATGTGAAACTATTTCAACAAGATTGCAGGCATAAGGACTCAATTATACAGAGGCCAATTGGCCAATGGCCTTTTACAAATATGATTCTGGCTCAAACACAGGAATAGCCTTGTCTTCTTTAAAATGCCTGCCTCATTCTAATAATGGTGGATATTTTAAAAAGAAAACATATGAATGCTAAGGCAAAATAGCAAAACAGCCCTGTGTTTGCTCTGGAGACTTGTGGTACTAAACACCTTCCTCACACATCCAGGTTAATGATATAGATTAATGTTTTAGTTATCAGTGGCCGCACCCCACCCACCCCCAGTTTGGAGAAAGGAAATATGAATGAGAAATAATGCCATTACTATACCTCCCACACACAAAAAAGAGAAATGAAAACAAAACAAAAACAAATTAAAAAGATACAAATTCCCTTTCAGCCCTTACGTCAAAAAGTGAGAAATGGGGGGGATTATCAGACCCTTGGTCTTACATGCATGTGCATATATATAAAATCCAGGCCAGGCTGACTCTGCCATGCCAACTGCCTGAACGTCTTCAGGGAGGCCTTCTTCACAATAATACAGTGCCTTTAAGCCCCCACTGAAAGTATGGAACTTTGAGGGCTAATCACTATATTAATTCAAGGCTATTCACACTTAGTTCCAAAAGCACAGAAAGGCAAGGCAGTAGAAGGTACATTGCCAGACCTGAAGCTCCTTTTTCTAGGTTACATAGCAGCAAAGCTACAGGACTGAAACTCGACTTGCTGACACCCTCGTAGCCCATCCAGATTGTTTCTTTCCAATTATTCTGGTAATATGTTTATGTCCAGAAAGAAACTGAATAAAAATACTGGACAGCTTTCACAATATGCTGAGCGGCTGGTTCAGCATGTATTCTGAATGATCAAATTTCACAGGCTGAAGTTCCAGGTACACAGTCTCTTCTTATGTTACATAATTTCTGACAATTCCACTCTCCCTTCAGTGGCCAAGACTTCCTTTTCCATGCTGGCGTAGGTCCTGCCTTCACACAGCTTTTGCTTAAGTTTATAAAGTTCATACTCATGGAGTATTTTTTGTGTTAAGTATTTCTCACGCTTTACTTTAGCTTTCACTTCATCCGGGACATCGGGGATCATCCAAGCCACAAAGAATTTGACAATGAAAACAACATGCTGTAAGACAGGAAGATAAAATACAGTAAAACTGAAAATGAACAACTGTCATGAATGAAAAATTAGAGCAAGTGACCCTAAGAGAGTCAAGCTGAGTTAATGCAGTTAGAATGCATATGTTTGGCTTGCTTAAGAAGCCATGAGAGATGGGAAGTAGAAGTTTAGCTCTTTCTTCACCTGCCACAATCCTGTTAAAAATCTTCTCGGCAGGCAAGCTCCCAATACGGTTCATTCGAAAACGGCAGCTTCAGAGAAGGAATTTTGTCAAGATCATGGCAGGAAGAAAAAGTAGTATCTTCTCCATAACCTGTCAGCTTTACTCAATTTTCTTCATGACTGCTATATACATAGCTATAGGGCAGTCATATTCAATATAAATTAATTGTGTGCATATATATTCCATATAAATTGCACCCAATTAATATAAAATCTTGTTTAGGCATAACATAGTACTTACGGTAAATCATAGAAATGCTAGCATGTTGATATGCCTGCCAGGAACATAAACATGTACAGACCCAGCCTATTGCACACCTTATTTCTATTTCTTATTTTCAATAGATCATGGACATCAACTAAACTGATGACATGCCTTGATTTTAAAAACATAATAGATCGTAAACTGGAATAGTGTAAAATGCCTCAGCTACCTATCAAAGGCATTCCAGGCTATATTTACATGATGGGTAGAATCCTACTTGTATTGGATAAAGTTTTCATAACTTGCCATCACTAACTGTGGTTGACTGATGATGTGCCAGGTTGTATCTTGGTTGCATTATTAGGCACATGGTTGCACAATCAGCCACTAGAGCAAAATGGCTCGTGTCACCCTGCAAATTAGCGGAAATTAACTATAACAAGTTATATAAATGTGATCACCAATAGAACAATTACTCTCTCTCTCTTTTTTTAATCAAGCAAAGTACTTTTTACTACTATAACACACTTTTGGGAGGTAAAACAATGACAAAATGTGCAGTTAACTTAATATAATATCTGGCATAGGCAATGTGTGTTAAGTGAGTGTTATCCCTACTTTCCAGTTACTTCTTGGTACTTTGCTTTCCCCCTCTTCTCCCCCCCCTTTTTTTCTTTTTGTAAAAAACTACTTGTATTATGTGCTAAAAATCACTGTATGCCACCAAGAATGCCTTTTGCACTGATGCTCTATATTACTGATTTGAGGACATAAAGAGAGAACCTACCTCCATAATAATGATAAAAGCCATTTTGGCAGCCAGAATGTGCCAGAACTGCATTGTATGTGCATATTTTTTCTCATGGTCTGGTGGATAGCGATAGTCCCTGTACCTGTTGAATGCAAACATGTAAAGGTGAAGGGCCATATTCAAACACAGACAGATGACAAGCTCTGTGGCATTTACATTCAAGTACAGCTGTCACTTAAGAAGACTTTCAATCTTGATTCTAATGTTTTTATTTATTTATTTATGTTAAGGACAAGGAACTTGTAACTGGTTCATGTCTCTTGTTTGCTCATTCACAGACAAAACAGATTGTGAGGGCATGTTAGCAGACCTCTGTACGCAAAGCTTACAGCTGTCAGAAGGTGATGTTTGGATAGCTCTTGCACAGCAAGATTATCTGGGAGTAGCATAACTCAATGCAAAGAACTGTAACACAAGATGGGAAGTAGGATGGTTATTTAGAACAAACCAGCGTTGCAAATGGGAGCCTTGGAATTTATGCAGACAAACTGCGTATCTCCAGAATAGATTTCTAATACAGGCAATGCTAGAAAACCATTAGAGACACATACTGGGGTGGGAATGAAATCCTGTTAACTGGTATCCCTATGATACAAGATGAATCCGATGGGTCACATATTTAATTGCCATACTGAAGAGCTAGGAAAGTTGAGGCTAATTTTTTTTTTCGAGAGTAGTTTACACATGGATTATCTTTACTGGAAAAATCCCCTTATGTGGCAGCATTTAATAAGATTTTGCCAGATCTAGATGGACTGCCACTGAAGAGTGCATATCTATAAAATGGAAAGCGTGCTTTCCGCTCCCAATGATGTATAGCCAAAGGAACATGTGACATGACATCACTGAGTGCTTCTCTTCCCGATATGAGTGACTGCAATATAGGAGAAGACTATGCCATGACACAAGCTCCCTTCCCCCTGTACATTACTAGATGGTGTTGTAGAAGGGGTTTAATCTGAGGCTGCTGCTTTCATCAGTAACTCCATGATTGATGCTGCAGGTATTTCCAGCCTCCATTACTTTAGAACAGTGGTTCCAAACCTTGGGTAACCCAGGTGTTCTTGGACTGCAACTCCTAGAAAGCCTGACCAGCATAGCTGGTGGTAAAGGCTTTGAAGAATTGCAGTCCAAGAACACCTCAGTTACTCAAAGCTGGGAACCACTGATTTAGATGCATGTAAGAAAAAGGCAATGGAAGGATGTAATTAGACTTCTTTACTCCTATAGTTTCAGCTACCTTTGTGCTTTTCTGCTTTCATATTACTTGATATATATTTCTAAAAACGATACCAAATTCCTTTCCCTCACAGTTGGAAAAGAGAATATAATTTTTATTTGGATGCTTGAAATGGTAAATTTTATAGCACACATTAAAGGACTGAATTTGACAATTAAAATTAATACAATTGCAGATGGATGTATTACAGAAACATACATAGACAATGTAGATTACCACTAACCGGCAGTTGGTGAAGTTGTTTGGATTTGAATTAGGTCTATTTTGCTCTTGAAAATCTGATATTTGGAATACAGAGAGGCTATCATTAATGTATCCAGTCATGGGTGAATCAGGATCTTCGAAGTATGCATAGTAGTAAACTAGTCGAGGGATCATATCAGATGTAAAAGCTACAATGAATGCCTGTAGGAGAGAAAGCACACTAAATATTATATAAACCCTTTCTTTGCATTTCCTGCAAATGTCATTTCCAGTTACTTTTTGGATAACTAAAAACAAAGTTATAGAACTGGACATACTGCATTTTATATACAGGTAAATGCACACACAAAAAATCCCCTTCACGGATTGCTGCCTTGTTGTGGTGAAGGGGCTTGAGTAATTCAGAGAAGCTATGGGCTATGCCGTGCAGGGACACCCAAGACGGACAGGTCATAGTGGAGAGTTCTGACTAAACGCGATCCACCTGGAGCAGGAACTGGCAAGCCACTCCAATATCTTTGCCAAGAAAACTCCATGAACAGAAACAGAAGGCTAAAAGATATGACACTGGAAGATGAGCCCCTCAGGTTGGAAGGTGCCCAACATGCTACTGAGGAAGAGCGGAGGAGAAGTACGAGTAGCTCCAGAGCTAATGAAGTGGTTGGACCAAAGCGGAAAGGATGCTTAGCTGCGGATGCACCTGCAAGTGAAAGGAAAGTCTGATGCTGCAAAGAAAAATACTGCATAGGAACCTGGAAAGTAAGACCTATGAACCTTGGTAAGCTGGATGTGGTCAAACAGGATATGGCAAGAATCAACATTGATATCCTGGGTGTCGGTGAACTAAAATGGATGGGAATGGACAGATTCAATTCAGACGATTACGATATCTACTACTGTGGGAAAGAAGCCCGTAGATGAAATGGAGTAGCCCTCATAGTCAACAAAAGAGTAGGAAAAGTTGTACTGGGATACAATCTCAAAAATGAGAGAATGATTTCCATACAAATCCAAGGCAGACCTTTCAACATCACAGTAATCCAGGTTTATGCACCAACCACCAATGCTGAAGAGGCTAAAATTGACCAATTCTATGAAGATTTACAACACCTTCTAGAACTGGCACCAAAGAAAGATGTTCTTCTCATTATAGGGGACTGGAATGCTAAAGTAGGGAGTCAAAAGATAAAAGGAACAACAGGTCGGTTTGGTATGGAGTTCAAAATGAAGCAGGGCAAAGGATAATTGAGTTTTGTCAAGAGAAGAAGCCAGTCATCACAAACATTATTTTCCAACAACACAAGAGGCGATTCTACAGAGGGACATCACTAGATGGGCAATACCGAAATCAGATTGATTATGTTCTCTGTAGCCAAAGATGGAGAAGGTCTACAGTCAGCAAAAACAAGACCTGGAGCTGATTGTAGCTCTGATCATCAGCTTCTTATAAAAAAACTCAAGCTTAAATTGAAGAAAGTAGGAAAAACCACTGGGCTAGTCAGGTATAATCTAAACCATATTCCTTATGAATACACAGTGGAAGTGAAGACCAAATTTAAGGAACTAGATTTGGTGGACAGAGTGCCTGAAGAACTATGGAGGAAGGCTTGTAACATTGTACAGGAGGCAACAACAAAAACCACCCCAAAGAAAAGGAAATGCAAGAATGTGAAGTGGCTGTTCAACGAGACCTTACAAACAGCAGAGAAGAGAAGGAAAACAAAATGCAAGGGAGATAGGGAAAGATACAGAAAATGGAATACATACTTACAAAGAATAGCAAGGAGAGACAACAGGGCCTTCTTAAATGAACAGTGCAAAAAATAGAAAATAACAGAAAGGGAAAAACCAGAGATCTGTTCAAGAAAATTTGAGATATTAAAGGAAGATTTTGTCCAAAGATGGATATTATAAAGGACAAAAATGGCATGGACCTCACAGAAGCAGAAGAGGTGGCAAAAATACACAGAGGAATTATACCAGAAAGATTTGGATATCCCGGACAACCCAGATAGTGTGGTTCCGACCTTGAGCCGGATATCTTGGAGAGTGAAGTCAAGTGGGTCTTAGAAAGCTTGGCTAACAACAAGGCCAGTGGAGGTGATGGCATTCCAGTTGAACTATTTAAAATGTTAAAAAACGACGCTGTTAAGGTGCTACACTCAATATGCCAGCAAGTTTGGAAAAAGCAGTGGCCAGATGACTGGAAAAGATCAGTCTACATCCCAGTCCCAAAGAAGGGCAGTGCCAAAGAATGCTCCAACTACTGTACAACTGCACTCTTTTCACACGCTAGCAAGATTATGCTCAAAATCCTCCAAGGTAGGCTTCAGCAGTATGTGGACCTAGAATTCACAGAAGTACAATTTGGATTTTGAAGGGGCAGTTGAACTAGAGACCAAATTGCTAACATGCACTGGATTATGGAGATAGCCAGAAAGTTCCAGAAAAACATCTACTTCTGCCTCACAAAAGCCTTTGACTGTGTGGACAAGTTCTTAAAGAAATGGGAGTGCCTGACCACCTTATCTGTCCCGAGAAATCTATATGTAGGACAGGAAGCAACATGTAGAACTGGATATGGAACAACTGATTGGTTCAAAATCGGGAAAGGAGTATGACAAGGCTGTCTCCCTGCTTATTTAACTTATATGCACAATACATCATATGAAAGGCAGGACTGGATGAATCCCAAACCGGAATTAAGATTGCCAGAAGAAATATCAACAATATCAGATATGTAGATGATACCACTCTGATGGGAGAAAGTGGGGAGGAATTAAAGAACCTCTTAATGAGGGTGAAAGAGGAGAGCACCAAAAAATGCTCTGAAGCTCAGCATCAAAAAACCTTGACTTTCTTGGGTTCCATGATCACTGCAGATGGTGACAACAGCCACAAAATTAAAAGGTGCCTGCTTCTTGGGAGGAAAGCAATGACAAACCTCAACAGCATCTAAAAAAGCAGAGACCTCACCTTGCCGACAAAGGTCCTCATAGCCAAAGCTATGGTTTTTCCAGTAGTGATGTGTGGAAGTGAGAGCTGGACCATAAAGAAGGCTGACCACTGAAGAATTGATGCTTTTGAATTGTGATGCTGGAGGAGACTCTTGAGAGTCTCCTGAACTGCAAGGAGATCAAACCTATCCATTTGAGTGCTCACTGGAAGGACAGATCCTGAAGCTGAGGCTCCAATACTTTGGCCATCTCATGAGAAGAGAAGACTCCCTAGAAAAGGCTCTGATGTTAGGAAAGTGTGAGGGCAAGAGGAGAGAGGGACGAGAGAGGACAAGATGGTTGGACAGTGTCATCAAAGCTACCAACATGAATTTGACACAACTCCGGGAGGCGGTGGAAGATAGGAGGGCCTGGCGTGCTCTGGTCCATGGGGTTCCTAAGATTTGGACATGACTTAACGATTAAACAACAACAAAAATGCACAGAAGATGCTGGCCCACTAGCAATTCTACCATCTTGTTTCCTCAAAGACATCCATCACAGCCACGAATGGGATAAAATCGTTTTCTGTTTTCTTCTTTAAAAACAATGCTGAAGGATTTACACTAAATTCCTAGGGATTACACAATATTCTTTTAAAAACACACCAGAAATTCTCCAGATGCTGTACAAAACTCCCTAACAGAACAAAACAAGTAAAAAAACCACCCTTGAAAAATATCCCTCCCCTCAAATAAAATATCTACAGCATAGTAAGATCAAAAGGGATAGTAGGGGGGAAAAAAACACCACCAAGACGAACAGATCAAATACAATTAAAATGCTTGGAAAATTAGAAAATTTGTCAATGATGTAACAGCAGATACTAGTTGAGCCTCCTTTAGTGAAGCACCAACATGAGACGGCTTTGTCGCAGACACTCCTTGCTGGCAGAGGAACATAGTGAATGTTCAGCAGTGCTCACCTATATGCCCATGGTCTGAAATAAGCACCCCTACAGTGATTAAGGGTGGAGGAAGGCTGACTGCAACCCTTACAGTGGAATCTAAAGTAACTAAAGCAGACAGTAGGTGTGATCTGATTTAGATAAAAGTGATTTATTTTCCATTGTTCTTAGTAGAACTTGTAGGTTGAAGATGAGCTTTAACCAGATTGGGGTCCTACATTATACACGTGCCACTATTACTCTTAGAAAGACTGATCTAGTTGCTCAGTGGTCAGGGTTGATAGACACGGATGCCCTGCAGGATATGGAGAGCTACAGGCTGTCCACCCCCGGAATGAATGCTTCCTATAATAATCCTGAGAACAAACATGATTTTATAGTTTAGGGGTCTTCTAAACTACCCTTTAAATATATATAAATATATATATACTTACATTTGTGACAACAGACAAGACTGCAATCCCATTTAGGATTTGTTGCCAAACCCCTATGCTGTGGGCTTTGGCTGCCACTGGCCTTCTAAACTGAGTTGTAAGCTTCCAAGAATCAACTCGAATTTCCAAGATATTGTTCATAAGAGCAAGTAATGGAGCCAAGGGAAAAGAGGCCACAAACAGAGTAATAAATCCAAACTGAATAACTACAGGGAGAAAAATAAAATATATAAATGAAAGGGAAATAACAGAATGAAGCCTAACTGGTAGTTGTCCACTTACTGAATGCACCCCTGCACATATAAAGTTCATGGATAGAAAAAAGTTCCTGAAAAAGGTAAAACAGAAGCACCCATTGCAACCAGTATTTTTCCACCCATTACAACTATGAATATTAATCAACTATCATGTAGCTAAACTCTGGGTGTCATGATTAGAAGCTAGATTTTAAATTTGTAACACACTTGCTTGTACTGCTCTTATTTCTGTTGTTTCTGAGGTTCTGATTACTGCTTCTTAAAGAATCAGAAAGCAAGGCTCAATGCAGTAGCCATGTCAGCTTTACTGTAGAAACAGCATACTTCTCAGCTATTATGTGCCATCTGTTGGCCACTCTGTGCAATCAAAATAGAATCGGGTGTTAGGATATCTTCTATTTTGCCCACTGTGATCTCTGGCAGCATGTTTTTTAGCTCAGAATTCTGCTACATACAGGTGAGATCTGAGTGTACATGGAATATTTGTTGAATCTTCATTAAAACTTTTACCTGAGATAGAAAAATTCTGGTAACTTTACTATCAAGATTGTAGAAAACATTTTTTTTTCTACAGGGACTAGTAAGTAGACTACATGACATCAAGTCATTTCTGACTTACGAAACCTCACAAAGTTTTTCAGTGTTTGAGAGATGTACATAGAGTGGCTTACCATTGCCACCCCGTGAGATTTCATGGCTGAGCAGGGATTTGAACCCAGGTCTACCAAGTCTAGTTCAACACTCCATCCGCTATAACTAGAGATAGGAACAAACTGCCAGTTCGGTGGTTTGTCAGTTCCTTTGGATGAACGTGTGTTTGGCAGTTCTCACCCTACCCCCAAAGCAGGCACTCAGAGGCAGTCCACCAGCTTCCTTGCCCCACCTCCTCCGGACAATGCCTCTGAGTGGTCAAATGCCGGAGGAGGCGGGCCAGGGAAGTACCAGACACTTGTTCATCTAAAGGAGAAACTGGCAGTGGTTCATGCCCATCTCTAACAAGCTCCCATGGACTCTCATTACTATGGATATAATGCCCTATAATTGCACATTGCTTTGCACTGAACAGATCTGACAAGTCCCCACTGTGAGGAGTGAAATACTGCAGTTGCTTGTAAAAGGCGGACTATTGACTGTTCACATGGTGCACGACCCAAAAGACATGAGCTTGCATAGGCGTTCCATGTTACTACACAGAGAAATGTGAATGCTTTCTATTTGATAGGCACCCTTTTGTGCTTACCCATTTCTAAGTATTCATAGAACAGGCCCAAAGGTCCAAAGTTCTGTAGATCATTATCCTGCTCCCATCGACTATACAAATTTTCTGGATGGTTCCTGGCTTTTCGTCTGCCCCACCAGTTCCAGACCCACCTGGATGTTGTAAATACAGAAATAACAGGATGGGGAAAATGGTACCAAAGACCTAATGCTGGAGAATAGAACTACAGTATATGTCTTACACTGTGACACCCTTAAGGAAGACCATGCAGGACCCCTTCTGAAGCGAAAAGCTTACAGATTACAGGGTCGCTCTAGTTCAGCATTCCAAATAACAAGATTAAAATCACATAAAGCAGAAGAACAGGGTGTTTCTCAGCTGATCCTGATTATATTATCAATGTATTGCTGGAGGCATGCCTAAATAGGAAAGATCACTCTCTTCAGACATAAAGACAGGCATCATGTCTCAATAGTACTCAGACACTTGCAGTGTATAAGCCTACAGTGTTTTCCTGAACTGCCTGGACATGAAGGAACTATTCTGTGAACATTCTAGCCATTCTAGCTATCTTTTAGAAATTCAAGTAACTAAATATAAATGCATGACTTACGGTAAAAAGGCCTCTTGGATGTTACCCCAGATCTGTTTGCCAGCCATAATGATGGTAAGCTGGGTCGTGAGTTCTATCAAGCATCCTGCAGGATCACACTGATGAAAGAAACAGGAAGGAAGAGGACTAAAATTTGTCACTTAAAATACACTGTTAAAATAAAGACATTTTGTTAAAAATAAACACTGGGGCAAAAGAGCACATTTTGTTTTTCATAAATCCTGCCTGATTGAAGATGCTAAGAAGAAGGCAAGGAATGCCACATAGCATGGGCCCTAAATTTGCTTAACTAGATAGTGACTGTGTAACTGATGCCAGGCAGGTGCAGTATCAGTCCCAAATTCACCACCGACTTGAAAACCCTGCCATCAAAGTTTCTGGTCCTATCCATGAGGTCAGGGAAAACACAGACGCAGGGCCTAATATTTCAAAGGGGGGGGGGGGAGGCATAATATGATTTTTTTTTTCTGGGAGCCAGGGATGAGGCTGAATTGTTTACCAGTCATATATACACAGCATCTGCTTCAAACATTAGATATTTGTGATCCAAAGTTAGATTGCTAATTTCAAATCAAGTAGTGATTCTCCATCTCTGCCTCACAGAACATGGATACTGCTCTTTTCTGCTCAATCTGTCTCCAAGTTGTCCAATCCACTTCAGGTGCCCTTCTGTGTGTTTCTCCACATCATCAGAGGCACTCCATGTCATCAGTACTACCAAATCCCTTACTGCATTCAAATTTTCTATCATAATGAAGGCAAGAAAAGGAGAGCAAATCCTTAGAACTCAAGTCAAAGATGTGCCTGCTTATGTCTTCAGAACATCAGAATATTTCTAATGCAGCAGATGAGTCCTTCTTCATGGACACTAGATCACAGCCAATAAGCTACAAATTAAGATTCTATTATATATTTCCTTTTTTTTTTGGTTAATATCTTAAACATATGTGATCTTTCTCTCTCCAGAAAATAACAGGTGTTTTAACTTATTACATTATGGTTTTCCAGGCATTTCCTACTTAATTCCCCTTAAAAAAAGAAATAAAAGAAATAAAAGAAAATCACGCACCTCTTCATTCCTCCAACGATTAAACATGTATGTATAATTACCAGGGAACCCCACAAATTTCCCTTTGAAGAAAGCCACATAGAAACATGATGAATAGTAGTTGACAAACTGAAACAGGAACATCTTCATAGTGAGTCTGTTCTCATATTCAAGGTGAGTTCTTGGGATTTCTGCAAGATCATCAAAATAAAGGAGATGTCATTAACATTTTTTTCCTGTCCAGAACTCTCTAGGAAAGGCTGGAAAAAGAGAATTTCATGTCAACATTGAAGAATAGATTGTGTTGGCTAAGAGAACATGTATTCCATGTTTACCAGCAGAGAGCACATGCTAGAGAGCAGCTAAGACAGATCATTGCTTTTTTAAACAACAGAACTCCAGACTATGGAATGCTCTCCCGACTGAGATTTGTCTGGTGCTGACGCTGATGACATTTCGGCACCAGGTCAAAACCTTCCTGTTCCAGAAGGCTTTTAACTGAAATAACATCAACTGTGGGTCCTGATGGCAATTTTTAGAGTATCTATTTTAATTGTATTTAAATTGTTTTATCTTTTATTGTATTTTAATTGTATTTTAATTGTTGTAAGCCGCCCAGAGATCTTTGGGTAGAGTGGGCAGCATTTAAGTTAAATAAATAAATAAAATAAATGAATAAACTCCTACAGAATAATTCTTTCAGGTGAATGGTGTTTGCTACCAGGAAACTGGTTTACAAATGAAACATATACTTTATAATTGTTATTTTAACATTTATCCACTGTGGGAAAATGAATACAAATTACAATATTACCAGTTGATAATTTTAATTGGGGATCATTTCAGAAAATACTTATTTCAGAATTACTCTGATTGCTTTTGTTATCCAATTACTTCTTCATCAACAAACATGCATGAGAAATAAAAATCACTCTACTGGGAAAATGAGCAACATAAAAGGTTCCAACTTAGAAGCTAGTACAAATATAATCTGCAGAATTATCACATCATAATACAGTGTGGAACTGTAGTTTTTAAAGCGTAAATTCAACAAAAAGCAAAATGTGCAGCTTATTTAACACCCCATAGCGCTTAAAGCACTACCTGAGTGGTTTACTATTTAATTATGCAGGCTACACATCCCCCTCTCCTAGTGAGTTCGATACTCAAGTTACCAACCTTAAAAGGCTGGGGCAACCTTGAGCCAGCTACCTGAGCCCATTAGGATCAAACTCAGATCATGTGCAGAGTCTTCACTGCAGTACTGCAGTTTAACCACTGTGCCACAAAGCTCCTTACAAGATTACAATAAATATTGTACAAATCTCCTGATGTCAGCAATGCCAAATCAGGGGAAGAAACTTACCTCCTGCTTTTCTACACAGAGTAGAAAAAATGGAAAAGAGTAGATGGTCAACTTGTTGGATGTTAAACTTCTAGTATCACAACAGCAGTGCAACCAAGCCAGCTGCTATAACATATGTATAAGATTTTATTCCTAAAATCACAGAGCTGTAATAGCAGCCATGGATACTCTGGGACCAAAGCCAAATGATATGAAGGAAAACTTCCCCAAGTCTTTTCTGTGGGACAGTAGCCATGAACTATACACCAGATGGAAAACTGCATATGCATTCTGCTTCTCACCACCAATATAGATTCCATGTGCACCACAAAGAGGAATGAGGAGATATACCTTGTCAGTTCAGACTTAATGCAATATACGTACCCATATCTGTGATCCAGATGGCTATCCTTTCATATAAGAAATTCAGTATCATAATGATGACAAAATTCAGGAATGACGCAGTGACTGACGTTGCTAGCTGAGGCGTCAACAAACCTTGGATGGGTTGCAGGGTTTGTGTGTTCTTCATGAGGCTGGCAAAAGCAGCATAAACTGCGAGGCGGTAAACGATCACAGCAATCATACTTGCTATGATCAAGGAGATCTGAATAAAACCAGAGAGATTTCAGGACATTGGCATTTTCTCACTTACCCAGTGGTCATTCAAAGGAACAGACCTAACTGTTTCTCACTATACACATCTCTAAAAGCCAAATCACTCACTGCGAATAACTGTGTAATATGTCCCTGCCAAAATGGCAGATTATAAGAAATGGGGACTGGATTTATTTATTTAACTTATATGCCGCCCACACTACCCAAAGGTTTCTGTATGTTTGAATCTACTTACGTGCACATGCCTATAACCTTCCTAACAGACCACCAGCATATCAGAAAGAGATAGCTAGGCTAACCAACCCCTAGAATTCTAGTTTTCCAAGTGAAAGAAGCTTATTACTTTATATTAGCACATGTAAACTTTTAAACATACAGTCCCCCACAATTCCACAGCCTGAAGAGATTAAAGAAAAATGTGGTTCTAACTAAACTGTAACACTGCTTTATTCTAAATATTTACACTGAGTAAAAATACAACATGCAAATTCATGCAAAGTACAACAGAAGGATGTTAGCACAAAATGCACCAGTATTCTGCTAGATACAGGAGCAGTAAAGTTCATTTGTAGATCATACAGACCATGTTCTTTCTCATTTTCTAAACACTTCTTGAAATACAGAATGGACACCCACAGACCTGAAGGCTGCATTGTGTCAGATGCTGCATAGGTATGCAATCCAAAACCCAATTGTCCAGAGCATTAACCTGGATGAGACTTGTCTTCTGCTAAATGACTACTTCATGTGGTGGTAAATTTTATATTCAGTTTCTGGGCAGCTCAAAATATTGTGGCAAAATTAGCCTCAACAACCACATTTCTGAAGAGCTAAACACCACCTAGAAAATAGGCTAATTCATAAAGAAGGTCCAGAAGTGGTCTGTAGACTGCATATAAATACTATATATGTACTTTGCATGACAGCAGGAAAAGAGAAATAAAAACATACGTTCATAATCTTTGCAGCAAGCAGTATACAGTGGACCCTTGACTTACAGACGGCTTGACTTACAGACTTTTTGAGTTACAGACTTCTCTGGCGACAAAATTTAGGTTTGACTTGCAGCCTGAGAATTGACTTACAGACCAGAAAAAAACCAAAATGGAACAAAAACGGCCTGTTACGGGATTAATCGGTTTTCAATGCACTGTAGGTCAATGGAGACTTGACCTACAGACTTTTTGACTTGAGAACCGCCTTCCAATACGGATTAAGTTCTCAAGTCAAGACCCCACTGTACCAAGAAAAAAGGCCTGAAGCAGGAGCATTACTGTTATGTTAAAAGTCAAGCTTAAAAGGTGATCAGTTACTTGTTATGTGTGTTAAAGCAATGATTCAAAAGGACGCTCACCCAGAACAACACTGTCGTTCCTGAGACACAGAACCGCAGAGCCTGGCTAGTTAGAGGCATATAAGGCTCCAATTCCTGAAACAGTCAAGCAAGCATCAGCACATGTCACCACCCATCTTACAAGGAGCACTGCTGCAGAAAGCAAACTTGACCATGAGAAGAAAGCAAACACACCCCAAGGACATCGTTTTCATTCTTTCCAAAAGACTGCCTTATATGGCTCATTTCCTCTCATGGGAAAGAGACAGGAGTGGAAGACTCAATAAACAATACAAAGAGAGAGAGAGCCAAAAATTAAGAACTTTTTTAGATTCTGCCCAGGTGAAGAAAGGCCCATTTTGTTTTCCCTCTTTGTGAAGAGAGCTGCAGGTGTTGAACTCAGCTCCTCATCAGAAACACATTTGAGTTGATGGAACTAGAATTTTCCCATTCAACACTGTCCTCTGGAGTTCATATAACTTTTTAAAAAACTTTCCCAATCGAAGAAATGGCTTAATTCATTAGTTGTCACTCTAAGCTGCAGGAGTCATGCAGCCTGTCTTACCCAAAACAATATTCCAAAGTACAACAAGCTCAGTTTCCCATAGTCATGCATGCTCTTCCTCTTAATCAATTCTAATTCCTAAAATATCAAACCAAACAATTGAAAAAGGAATAATTAAAGCAACAGAAAACATTGTATTTGTCAACCACCACCTTTCCCTTTCAGTTTGTTTTAAAGACTAGCTTCAATGTGAAAATGGGTTAAGGTCCTCTCTAGTCATTCATGGTTTACCCCTACTCACTTTGCTCCACTCTGAATCACTAAACCATCTCTAGTGATAAAGCGAAAGAGTGAATAGTTTAAGATGGACTGCAGTGTTGATAAACCTGTGGCTGAAGGACACATCACTTTCCTGGTGATATCAGTGCATGCAACTGCAGAGTTGGTTAACAAAGGTTTGAATTCACTGCAAGTAATGTACCCCACAATATAGGGAAGTATCTGTTTGGGGCATATAGTTTAATAAATTTGCTTTACCAATGCTTTAGTCTCCTGGTGATTTCTAAAGGACTGAGTCCTGCGTATTTCCACTATCTAATGTCATGGAAAGAATTCTTGTATTTACAAGCAAATGCAACCATAAAACTTGGTTAAACAATAGCTTCTATTATTGTTGAATCAATAACTCTGGCATCAATTTCTAAAGCACAGAAACTTGACACTCTGTAAAGATAACAGGTGCTTTAAGATTTTTTTAAAGTGTTTTTGTCAGGATTAGAGAATAAGTACCTGATAGTCTATTAGATTAAGCAGGTAGAGGTTGTTTCCGTTGGTTCATTTTACTTATGTCTCTTACCTGCTTTGCTTTATTTTATTTATTTCTGTTTTATTTACAGAACTGATTATGGCTTTGACTGATTATTTCTATATTACTTTATTACTTTACATTGCATTTTACTGCTTTTGTCACCTTGAGCAATATATGATGAAAAAGCATGATACAAATGTAACAAATAAATGAGTATGTAACAGATCCCAGCACCCAATTTAATCACAAATCTTGAAAATCTAAATCACAATTGCAATAGAACTATAAATTACATTAAAATCATAATATCACAATGTAACCACAGCTCCTGGCAATTTAGTCATGTTAGCTCCCTGCCCTAGATTGTAACATAACCCCGTAAAGCACCAGGACAGGATTATAAAAATCAGACTTTACCAGGGAGACCTCTTTTCCACCTAAAGTACGTTCTTAGACATTCAAGTTTGCTATTTTCCCCTTTCAGATTTAGCAGCTTAGAGACCAGAGGCTTATAAACAAATTTTTAGAGACAATTCAGACATTCAGGAAAAAGTACGTAGCATACTGCTGTGAGAACAGTTTCATTGAAGAATATATGTGAGTGAGCCATATGCCTGAATGAATGCCTCCATTACACAAATCAGTCAATGAATGTGTGTGGGTGCACACATTCATACACATACTCCCCACAGTTGGAAAGCCAGCATGTTGGGGGAAAAGTCTAGATAGAAATCTACCATGTCACGGCCAGTAAGTATTCTATGTAGACTTTTTTTCTGTGCATGGGTTTGAGGTGCACGCAGAGAAGCATTTAAGCATGGAACTCGCAATCTGCATCTGGGAGCAATAGAAAAATGTCCAGGAGAGCTATGACACATGCTTCTTTCTGAAGGCTGCACCAACTCCTACAGAAGAAAATCAGAGTTTTCCTCTTCAGCCACCGCCATCTACTACTGGAAAGATATGCAATTGTTTTAAAATTCTTGTTACTGAAGTCACCAGAAACTCTGGTGTCAGTCTTATGCACTGCTGCTTGAGTTGAACAGCTTGAAAAGGCTAGGGTTTTCCCCTCCCCCAAACTACAACTCAGAGCATTCCCCAACTCTTGTGGACACTTTACTAAGCTCTACTGAATTGCACCTGGTTCTTAAACATTTGCACAGCCATTGCCCGCCCAGCCCGGAATAAAGAGTTGAGACATAGGAGTTGGATAAAAACTAGGGCCACAACTTTATTAAACTATTTAAACTTTTAATTCCCCTTTCACAAGGGGGCTTACCATAGTGTGAATTCCTCTGACTCCGGTGTACCATTTTCACTGGATCAGGCCAACAAGGGTGAGTTCCTATTACCAAAGCATGCCAACCTCTGTCCAGTGAGTCTTCAGCTGCTCAAAACCAGGAATCACCCCACTGCTTCAGTCACCAAGTCTCTTGACCCTAGGTGCACTGCTGCTCAGTCGATTCCCTTAATCCATCCCCCTTTCGTATAACTCCTTTTCCACCAATCAGGGAAATGGCTTAATTGTCACCTTCCTCGGGTGCCCCGATGGAACTCACCCACACTTTTTATTTTTGCACTACCCACAGTTGTGACCTATTGAACATGTCCTCCTATCATTGCCTAATTGTACCATGAAGTAAGAATGGGATGGGCGAAAACACACCAGCCTCCTGTCATGTGCCAATTGTGGAAGCAAATCAAAAATTCTGATCTGGCCCGGAAACGACCAGCTACTCTCATTCTTAGTTCTCAACAGTGGGCGGATGGGCTGATGCCACGAAAAAGGCCGAGCTAGGGGGAGCCAGCCTGATAAAAGGCTCTCCACCCAAACTTCACTTCTCATGGCCCTCATGTCAAATGCCTGACCTCAGCAGTTCCGAGCCAGCAGGCAAAGCACTACCATGGCAGCAGCTCTGCGCTGCATGCCACGTCCACTGTCTTTTGATAATAGCAGCAGATCACCATACTTCTTTACTACTGTTCTGGTATACTTCCATCCTACTCTCTTAAGACCAAATGGTCTTTGTACCATGCTATGAAAAGAGTTTCACTCAGCAGGCAGCTACTTCTGAATTCTGTTTGACTTCTCATATTCAAGTTAGCTTCCCCCAAATTACCTGAGTGATTGGGTTCTTTCGCTTTTGGGTACACTTTGCTTCATATTCTGGCCTCAGTTGAAGCTGCTGTTGTTCCTCCTCAAAATCAACTAAATCCCACTCGTATTCAAGTCGAGCTTGGCGGCGCTTCCAGAACTCCAGGAAAAGTGTAACTGCAGTTGGAGAATTATTGAAACAACAAGAACTAATAATGGTAAGAAATGTTTTTCTTGAAACAGCACAGTAAAAACACTGTCCCATATTTTCTCCATTACCTTTATAACTAATTAGGTGCTTATATAGAGCTTCAGTTGCTTTAAAAAATATTATTGATTTTAGTTCCTTCAAAGAAATTATTGCTTATTTCTTCACTCAGAATTTCTGAACAAAGTTAGATTTGTTATGGCACATCTACATACTTAATTTTGTATAAGTACAACTGAACCATAACATTTGCTTAAGAAGCATAAGGAAGAACTGTTTAGACCCACCAAACTCAACAGAAACAAAGCTAGCCATGACTGAAGAATCCCATTTCTGAATTTGTTATATATTTTACAGAAACAAGCAAACATACTCACCCCAAATACCCATAAATATTGCAAAAAAGAGGGTTGCCACATTGTCAAATAAATGGGAGTACTAAAACAGAAAAAGAAATAATTGTTTGAATAAAACAATACTTGAAAAGCTATCTGCAAGAAAATAAAATTGCAAGAATTGTTACAAACCTGTGAAGACTCGCACGTAGAATTCAGCCACCAATATTCACAATTTCTATCACACAGTGGGCACATGGGGATTTCTCCCCCAATACTGGGGTCACATATTTCTTTGCTAAAAAGGATGAATTAGAATGTCTTAGGCAGTATTACACTAAATGGTGTACCTAAGCAAAAAAACAGTACTTGACTTCACACAGGAATACAATGAACCTCTCTCTCTGTCTGTTTGTCAAAATTATAGACAGAATTGTGAACATAATTATGGATCAAAATCATATGCTTCCTCATATGCTTCAGCTAGTGTGTTCACAAAGCACCTCACAAAGTCAGGCTGCAGCGTTTCACAGTGTGCAACATTACACAAGAAGAAGAAGAAATAGTCTGAACACAAACCCCCATGGGGCAAGAAGTAGAGGTAACAGGCTATTGTTCAGGGGGATATCATCTGTCTTGTATATTATACTCACCTACTCATATTTTCATTCATTGTAAATGCTCCATACAGAAAACATATTAAACCAACAAGTGCTGCAAAGAATAGCATCTCAGTGTAGAAGCCCAGCCAGGCAAAGTAGATACCAATCCTCTCTCCATAATATTTCCTGTAAGAAAATTATTTAATGAGATGAATAAATACAAGACACACTCAGCATCTCTCCTGAGAAAGCACAGGAACAAAACCAAAACAGACTAATTCCATCCAAAGACAGATGGCTACATTTGGATGTATTGTTATTAGCTGAAAGCCAAAGACATGCTGTTAAGTTTATATTGTAGTCAAAAAACTATAGTTTTTGAACTAGATTTTTACAATAAATAGACAATGCATTTTTCCCTGTAACTGCAACATAACTGATTTCTTTCACATCTTATCTAATTGGACCCAATAATGCTGCACTTGAGAAGTTTCAACAGTACAGCAGGGGGTGTGTGATATCCCCTCTTTCTCTAAGACTACTACTGCTCTGTAGAACTTCAAAAGTCACTCCATAAGGCTAGGAAACCCTATGACAAAGAGATATGGGGATGGGAGAAGACAAAGAGAAAAGTCCTGTGGTAATAGCAGATATATGCTGATGCAATGTTGGATTCAGCTTGTTATCACATGCTTTAAAAAGTCTCCTTATTTTTGATCACTTCAGTGGTGGGCTGGGTTGAAATTGTTTGAATTGAAGTGCACCCATCCATAGTCAGGCCTTTTACATTATATGAGGTTTTCTTGCATTTTCATTTACAATGGTAATTATGATTCTTGTAATGTCTCTATGAATATAGACGTATAGTTTTAATGTAATGCAAAAGCCAGAGACATGGTTCCTATAGCAGTATCAAGTACTCACCTGATAAGATCTAAGGGCTGCTCCTTGAAAAACCTAGGAAACCTTGCCCATTCTCTGTACAGTGTGTATCTTTCATTTTCACACTTTGGATCATTTGCCTTCCTCCAGTACTGGCACTGCATCAATGGACAAATAAATAAAAGAAAAACAGAAGAGATTACGTCCATCATGTAGAACAAGCTGTGCACAGAAGGGAGAATACATTCAGCTCTAGGTTCATAATATAAAATGTAGTTCCTATGAAAAATACTGTGTAAAATAAATGAAAGAAAAAAATCCAAAAAGTTGAAGCATTTGCTGTCTGCCACTGGAGGGCACTCTTACATTAGACTTTAATCCTACACGGGCACACGCATTCCAGTTCTACAGCAGTAGTAACAAACCTCTTCCTGCTGCCATCACTGCTCTTGAGGCTTTCAAAGGTGTCGCCCAGCTCCATTAGTGACCCCATCTCTCTCTCTCTCTCTCTGAGCAATGAGATATAGATATTTATATCTGCGAGTAGGGCCAGCCTGTGCAAGCTCTGCTGCACAGTCCCAGGATGCCCCCAGAAGAAGGGAATGGTAGACTACTTCTGTGTATTCTCAATCTGAAGAACCCTGAAAGGGTCGCCATAACTCAGAATTGGTTTGATGGCACCTATATGCCTGCATGCACACATGTGTGTCACAGGGAGAGCAAGAGAGAGACTGCAAGAGAGAGCTTACATATAAAACTTGTGGAATAGATAGAAAGACATAAATGTTACAAATTATTTTCACAGTGTGTTATGTCCTGTGCCGTAAAGCTGCATTCAACTTACAGGAATCCCAAAAGGCTTTTCAAGCTATTTAAAATATGTAAGGAATGTTTTACCAGTGAGCTTCCTTGGTCAAGTGGGGATATGAACCAGGTTTCCTAAGCACTTCTCCATTGCTCTAGCTATTTCGCCACACTGGTTCTATATGTATTTCCACAGTAATGATCACAATTACACAAAATTATACATATTATGTCTGCTACAAGGCAATGAGGTTTAAATACTGCAAAGATTCTGTGGGGGACAGACGTAGGAAATAAACAATTGAAAGAAAAATGATTAAAATACCTACATCGTGAAGAGGGTAAGCTGCAGCATAGGTGCCGTTGTTTAACAGTCTTTTGATGCCAAATTTTTTCTTCCCTTCCTCTGTTCCATATGGGCACCTCGTTAAAATATAGAAAACCTAAAGGGGAGGGGGAATCAACACTGGTTTAAAATTACTCCTTTTCTTGAGCACTTAAGAATATTTCACTACACTATGTGCAAACAGAATATTCTTCTTCTCTTCTCCACAGTCTGTCAGATTAGAGACATTTTAGCAGATTTTCAGTGGATTATCTACTAATTTACATACTGAAATATTTCACGGTAAGCCAGCCTAATCTTCTCATGTTATGTAGAATTTTCTCCACATAAACCAATCATGTCTTGCTTGACATATATGGCCTTGCATAGATGCAGGAAAACAGACGCACATCTTCTCATATAGTATATATACCTGACCCCTTCAACTGTATGTGTGTACAAATGGGTATTATACTAAAACAAATACAAAAAGGTACTTACAATTCTGTTTCTGACAGAAGGGGAGAAAAATGTATTCTCATCATCAATGAGGTAGAGTTCTTGCTTTTCCTTGCTAAATGGGGCAGTAAAGTAATCTGGTTCTGGGTGCATCACAATCTCAGGTAGCCTAAAAGGCGAAAATAAGCACTCGAAGGGGTTTTCAGTGGTACAAGGAATATCATTTTCCTTGATGGGCATTTTGATATTTAGCACTTCAGCATATGTGGTGAGGACCTCCCAAGGAGCATGAATCTTCACAAAGTAAGTTTTGCCATTATCGGATTCCTGCAAGTGAGAAAGGGAAAGCTGATGTTAAACAAAGTAATTTCAAGGGAGAACTCCATCTATTTCTCCCTGGACAACTGTAAGAATACCATGTGAGAGAACTGCCAGTCATTTTCTCCATGGCACATATGCACAGTGTATCCATGGTATTTCTGTCTCAAATGTCATAAATGTCTGCAGTGATAGACAAAACAGGAACATAAAGACAAACAGCAACTTAAAATGTGCCGCAGTGAAGTCTAAAAGAAAATATTAAAGGCAGTAAGAAAGTCCTGCTCAGGTAGTTCACACAAGATGGTATTGCTTGCACAAGTCCTGATGTCATATGGCCAGCAGGTTTTCTGCCTAGCAATCACAGCTTGTACAACAGCAATGCTTGAGTAAGTTTCACCACCCCACATTACTACAATAGCAAAGCCTTCTGCTCATTGGAAGTTCAAGGGGAGTCTGGATCAAACAAAGTAAAATGTAGTCTTAATAAAGGAAAAATGAATGACTGCAGCTGAAGATTAACAAAGGCTCAATGCTATATCTCATGCTGGACACCTGTTAGCAAAATACAGGAACATAAGGACATGTACATGCACTCCCCCCCCCACTGCAACCTCCCCCTCTACCATGTGAAATATCTACTCCAGAGGGATGGTTTTCAGGGACTGCAGGTAGGAGGGGAAGGTGACACACACCATATTCACAGCAGATACAGAATGAGATCTGCATAATGACGTTTCTCAGCTATACTGCAGGCTATGTTCTAAAGCTCAAGGGAAAGACAGGGGATTGCAACTGGGACCTGGGATGGGTTTCTTCTGACTTTTTCTGCAGCCTGCAAAGGAGTCTACAGTCATTTATTTGGGACTTCTTTCTAATTATCAGACAATGATTTCTAACCACCTTCACTTTTAAACAAAATAGCTCTTTTTAATTGGCAGCAAGGTAACAAAACAAAACAAAAAACCCACAAAAAAAACCCAAAACAGCAGCTGGCTGATATTAAAAAATGATAAACTACTTAGTATGCAAAGCCTTGAGAAAAATAACTCTGTATTAAGTCGTTTAGCCTTTTTTCATATCAGCAACAGCCTGTTCTTCTAAACACCCTGAATATTTCCCCGAACTTCACATCCACCTGTCATATTAATTAATTCCTTCTCAGAAGTCCATGTTAATCTTAAACAGCTTTTTTTAAAATTACAGTGGACCCACGGCTCACGAAGCTCCCTACTTTTGGAAATTTCAAGGTACGAAAAGCTCCGGCCACAAAATTTTAGTTCGACTTGCGGCCAGAGCTTCGACCTACAAAACGCAGGGGGAAAGGGCGGGAAATTCAAAACAGCCCCCGCTGCCCTCTTGTCTCCTGTCCCCAGTGCCCTCTGCCTCCTGTGGACAGGAGGCAGAGGGCACCAGGGACAAGAGACAAGAGGGCAGTGAGTGCAGCTTTCTAAGCCCCGAAAGCGGAAAGCTGGCAGCGGGTGCAGAGCGGCTTTTGGCTTCCCAGGTTTCCAAAGTTAAACCCACTGCCCTCTGTCTCCTGTCCCTGGTGCCTTCTGCCTCCTGTCCCTGCTGGGACGGGAGACAGAGGGTAGTGGGGACAGAAGGCAGAGGGCACCGGGTGCAGCTTTGGAAGCCCGGGATTTTTTTTCTTTGGCTCGAACGGATTAAATGGTTTTCAATGCATTCCTATGGGAAATGGACCCTCGACCTACGGAATTTTTGACTTGCACCCACCATTCCAATACGGATTAATTCCGTAAGTCGAGGGTCCACTGTAGGAGGTGAGCATTCCTGTTGGTTATTCCTGTTTTGATTTTTTTAAGGCCCTTCAAGGGCTGAAATAGGCCAGTGGAAGAAAATGCCTATTAAGTAACCCACAGAAACTTCTGAGGGATGGAATGTATGATTCTGGAACCTCAACTTCAGATTCAGATGTTTCAGGGCTAGGTGGACTTGGTGAAACCTCGAAAGTCACATGCAACTTGCAGGCCACACTTTGCCTACTCTAGGTTAATACTGATCCTATGTCTGCTTAGGGCTTGCTAAGGGCAGGCCAGAGAATAGCAGGGACATCAGTATGGAATATCATAGTGCCATAATGCACAGCTATCATATTTTTCCATGTATAAGACACTACTTTTTCCTAAAATCATTACACTAAAAATTAAGGGGCGTCTTTTACACAGAAGTAAGCTGAGATAGCCGAGAAGTGAACAAAATGGCGCATACCTTCCCTCTGTAAACTTGCATTCATATAGTGAGGAGACTTAGCTTCCTCCAATCACGAGCCTTAAGGAACTGATGTCAGCTGATGCTGAACAAACCAACTGGAACACACCTCATTGGAAGTGGAGCCTGTAGGCTCAGATTCAGTAGGGATTCAAAATGTCTGACCATCCTGAGCCCAGAGGCTGAAATCTCAAAGCTAAGTTTTCTTAATTTTTGGGTTAGAAAAGTGGGAGGTGGGGTGTCTTATAAGTGGGGACGTGTTATAAACGGAAAAATATGGTGAGTTGTGGACCCCAGTTGCAGACTGCAACCGCTCTAGTAAGATACTGTATCAGTATATTATTTTCCAATTGGTTTCCATGTTGTTGATATCAAACAAATGTCAAAAATTTACAGGAGAGCAAACAGCATACTGACATTGAAAATATGTACTGTTGTTAGGAAATAGCAAATTCTTTATCACCATCTTTTTTTCTGACCATATACTTTTAAAGGCAAAGCTTTTTTACCTTCTTGTCTTCCGTTTCTAGTTCCAAGCCTGCCTTAGCTAGATTGTTCTCAAATTCTCTTCTCCTTTCCTGCAGAAAAATATACAGTACAGCTCTTCACTTTTCGATCAAATAATAGCAGCATACAGTATAACATTTAAAAAATCCTTCTAAAATTAAGGAAAATTGATTTGCCTTTTAACATTAATTAGACTTGCTAATTGAGTGAGTTACTACAGTCAAAAATGTTACACAACCCATGGAAAATACACCTCTTCAACCATCAAAGAAACCAAAAATCTCTTTGATGGTTGAAGAAACATCTTGATTTGTTACGTGTCACAGCTTTTCTAATGACAAAGCTGCAGGCAGATTTTAGTGATTAATTTCTAAACAGGGACTCTACGTAGCTTCATGTCATGCTTTCTACTACAGGACAAAACACACACATAGACACACACACTGAGAGAGAGAGGGGTGGGGTGGGAGGGAGGAGCTGGGAAAAGCAAAAAGAAACACAGACTGCCATAAAAAGAAAAACAGGGGAAGGGGGGAAAAAGAGAAGAGAAAAAAAATAGAATTAGGGTAGGTATGTGGGAACGAATTAAGAGAATTTCTAAACCATGTACAGCCAGTACTTCCAACAATACATCATCATTACCAAACTTCAGACAACTGTAAGAATTAAACTCTACTTATAGCCTGCTGTTCTCATATTCATTTACAGGGTGGCAATTGTCTCTAACCTGTCTTAGTGACAAAGCTACAGCTAAACCTGAGGTAGTTATTATTTCTACAAGTCCTCTAAGCAGATGCAAGTGGTGCTTTCCTGTGGAGGGTTCCTGGACTCTTCAAACTGTCAACAAGAAGACAAGAGGTAGTGAAGGGGAGAGGCAATAAATACTGTTGCCTGTTAAGGTGAGGTGGAATGTTAGCATAGAATGAGGATGAGTACAGGTATGGGTGGAGGTACAGAAAAGCCACCAAGAAAGAAAACAAGGGGCAATTAGAAGAGAAATAGCACAGCACAGGAGAAAAAGCAAGAGTTTTGAAGACTATCAAGAACTTTCTAACACTTTAAAAAAATATTCTACATTTTAAACACATCTGAACACAGGTTGGAAAAACTGCATTGAAGAAATATGACACTCCATGCAAGAGAGCTGGCAAAGTATGTCCCACCATCCCATTTGCAATCAAAACACAAGTTGTGACATAAATAGCAATCAGAAGATGTAATAAATGTCTACTAGTATTAATTTACAATGACCCACAATTTTCTTAAGAATTTCCTCTGTTGTGGATCTACCAGCTTCATCTCAAGATAATAAATGAGAGCAGACTGAAGTTCTGAAATTCCAAAGTTCAGTGGCTAAAGTTCTGAGGAAGGTTAATTACATGTTATATAAAAAAGGTAATACATGTTAATTTATGTTATCAGAAGTTCACGGAACAGATAAGACTGTTGACTGTTGCTAGCACTAAAATGATTAATAAAGAGACACTGTTTTTTACAGCCTGTTCATTACATCATGGGTCTCACACAAAACTACTGTTTCAAACTTTTCTGAAATACCCACAAATTACATTTCTCATGAATTCTACACTGCCATAGTCACTCTGAAGTTCAGTTTATTTTTAAACTATCCCACCTTCCAATTTAATGGGCAGAACCAGAATAAAGAAGCAAGCAGCAGACTAGATTTCCTGGGTCCAGCTAACTGGTCCCCAGTTTATTGCCACTGAACCATGAAACTATACAACTATCTGAGTTCCTGGAATTTAGGAGCTACTCCCTATCTTGCTATTATCCTGCGGGAACAAACATTGTGTCTACTGAGTTAGTACTTGGGCTTTCCTACAGAGTGGCACAGTCCACACACACCCTTACATTTTGAGGTGATGATTACTACCGGTTTGATTCTGCAGTGAAACAACATTGGACATTTTGTTATTTCAGCACAGGTTAAGTCAACACCAAAAACACAAAATCTCACACTTTGAAATAATTTGGATTTTTAACTTCTAAGGTAATGGTAGTGATGCAGTGCTTAATATCAGCACACACTATTTTACAGATTGATTGAAGGAAATCAGGACGTCACCCCACAAAACATTTGCTCATTGTGGTATTATGTAGCTGAGGAAATTAAAGAATGAACAATTTATGGATAACGGGATTCGAACGAGGGGAAAAAGTTAACTGGAAAAAAAGTTTGTTTATATCTTTGTTTCCCGCCTTTCTCCTTAAAAAAGATCCAAGGTGGCTTGCATCATTAAAAAGACAATATTTAAAGCAAAAGCAGTAAATATACAAATATTTTTTAAAAAGAATTTAACAAATATTACTTTAAAATGGTAAATAAAATCAATACTAAAAACACATTTAAATGCAACAAGGCACAACAATTGTTTAAAAAAATCCCTCTCAGACTACCAGTCACTAAGGAAAAGCCTGCCTGAAGAGGAAAGTCTCCATCTGCTTGTAGAGCAGTAGGTTTTAAGCAAGCAAACAAACCCTGGCTCAAAATGTTAACTGCAACACAGAATAGCAATAAATCTCCCTTTTTTCAAAGAAAGTTGCCATGCGGAGGGGCAGAGGGAAGAAGTGGGACTATCATAAACTGCTTGCTCTTGTGAGCCAAGCTGCTATTGACATCAGCAGCAGCTTCCCTTGTCTCACTTCACAGCAGCTGTCAAGATTTTTATTATTTACTTATTTATACATTCATTATATTTCTTCCCATCAGTAAAGACAACCTACATAGTTTCCCTCCTCGCCCCTTCATCCTCACAACAGCACTGTGAGGTAGGTCACACTGTCAACCAGTGGAAGATAAAATTTCGTATATCTGATGAAGAAGATAGGACAAATCTGTTCATCTTGAAAACACTGAAATGTTCTTTATACCTGTCTCTCATTGTCCTTCTTTTTAGTTTGCAGCAAGGAACATCCAAAATAAATCAAATGTTCACTATTTTGGGCTCCTACTATCTGAACTGCCCTCTTGTGACAACCGGGAACCTGCCAGTTCTCCTTTCCAAGCCTTTTTCTCAGGAGGCAGCTGCTGCGATTTCATAATATGATTGTGCAAGCATTAACATTTCAAAAATGCACATGTGAATTATCACTAAATTCAGCAGAACTCCATGGGAGTTGCATCCTACTAAATGGGTTTAGGACTAAAGCATTAGTGTTCCACATTTAACAAGCTCTTTGCATTTCAAAATACAACAGTAGTTTTCTTGCTTTCAAAATGTTTTTTTCCCCTAATCCAACAAACTTTTGGATTGCATCCCAGTTCCTCATGTAATTATTCATGCTGAAACCAGAGGACTGGCAAACTTATGGTTTTGATGGTGGCTTTTCTTTGTATGAGTGTTGAAGTGGCCCATTAACACATCTGGGCAAAACAAAGCAAGCACAGAGACTTCCTAAATGTGCAGCAGTCAGATGCTTCCCCAAGAATGCTTCTATTCTTAGCCAGCAAAACTTTGCCAAGTCACTGCGCTTACAAAAGCAGGAACATATGAGTCTTCCCTAGGAATCATTGCAGAGCTTCATACAGCTCGTACTGTAGGTGCTTTTTCTCAACAGAGCAGCAAAATAAAGCCCATCCTGAAATGAATCCATGATTACAGGTCAATGCTTGGCTGTATGACAGATGCGTAAGCAAGTTACCTGACAAAAGAGAGGTTACTTATCTGTAACTCTGTTTCTTCAAGTGGTCATCTGTGAATTCACACTATAGGGTTTAATCTGTGCCTGCACAGAGGTTGATTGATTGATTGATTGATTTGATTTGATTTGATTTGATTTGATTTGTATCCCGCCTATCTGGACTACCAGACCACTCTAGGCGGCTTCCAGCGTACAATAAAAATAAAATACAATTAAAATACAAAAATGTGCATAAACGTAACGTAATAATTACAATCACAGAAGATAAAGAAAATAATACAAGGAAAATTAGGAAAAGGATTCAGGAATTGACTGGAGGGAAGGCCTGGATGTATAACCATGTTTTTAATTGTCCTCGCAGGGGCCCCCATGTCTCTTCTCAGACCATCTCCTATTTTTGATATGCCAAAAATATCAGCACTATATTTTTGGCATAGCAATTTACCAAAAAGCCACTGCCTATCTGTATTAAGGCTCATTCCATGAGAGCTGTTGCTACTTCCACAGCTTTCTATTGAGTAGTACTTCTCCTAGACATCTGCAAGGCGGCTTCTTGGGCAACCCCCTCTATGTTTTCTGCTCACTACTGCCTTAGACCTTCAGGCTAAGAAAGATGCAGCATTTGGCAGAGCCACTCTCTTTTCTGTTCTTCCATGATGTCCCTCCTCCGGTAAGTCAACTTGTTAATCGCCCTATAGTGTGCATTCACAGAGACCATGAAGAAGAAAGAGAGGTTATTTACCTGTAACTCTGGTTCTTTGAGTGGTCATCTGTGAATTCACACTATAGGATTTAATCTGTGCCTGCACAGAGGTTTCCGGACTATTCTAGAGCTTTAGCACGCGTTCACCAGGACCGCCCCCCAGTACACGTGAACTATTCTAGAGCTTGAGCACATGTTCACCAGGACCGCCCCCCAGTACACGTGGTCTGCCTGTCCTGGCGATTGCCTCATTTCCTAAGAACAACCCACCGCTGCATCAAAGTGAGACAGACGTGATGGGCAGAGGGGAAGATGGGCATTAAGTGTGAATTCACAGATGACCACTCAAAGAACCAGAGTTACAGGTAAATAACCTCTCTTTCTTCTTCATGGTCTCTGTGAATGCACACTATAGGGCGATTAACAAGTTGACTTACCGGAGGAGGGACATCATGGAAGAACAGAAAAGAGAGTGGCTCTGCCAAATGCTGCATCTTTCTTAGCCTGAAGGTCTAAGGCAGTAGTGAGCAGAAAACATAGAGGGGGTTGCCCAAGAAGCCGCCTTGCAGATGTCTAGGAGAAGTACTACTCAATAGAAAGCTGTGGAAGTAGCAACAGCTCTCATGGAATGAGCCTTAATACAGATAGGCAGTGGCTTTTTGGTAAATTGCTATGCCAAAAATATAGTGCTGATATTTTTGGCAT